GCCCCACCCGGTTGGAACGGGCAGCCACTTCGCCCTGTGAGCTGCAGGGGAGGCGCTGCGTCCCCGGTCCCAGCCGATTGGGGTTCCTGCGCGAGCCTCCCTTCCAAACGCTGCAGGAGTACCTCCTGCCGTCTGACTGAGTCCCCGCTGCTGCGACGCACGCCCCTTCGGCGGCCAGGGTGGGGCCCGGCCCAGCCCGGCCCGAACCTGGTCCCTCCCGCCCCCACCCCGTCTTTTGGTCGCTGGTGAGTGGGACGCCATGGTGAATTGCTTGAGGCAGGGGTTGGGGCGTCAGAGGCTGCAGGAAGGGGTACCTGGAGGAGACAGGCTCCGGTCTGGACTCTCTCCCCCACCGCTGAAGAGGGAGGTGGGTGGGTAGCCCCTCCTTTTCAGAGGCAGACTGGTTAGGAGGGCCAGCGGGGGCTCCCACAAACCAGAGTGCAGCAGGTGGGATGAGAAGTGGGAATAGACCTCCCCCCAAGGTTATGACTTTTTTTTCTGGGATTGCCACATTTTCTTATTCTTTTTTTGGACTGGGCGGGCTCTGGACGTTCTTCTTCCTTCTGTGGAGCAAAGCAGCCGCTCCCGAGGGAGCCACTGTCCCCAGAGACCTGATGCCTGTCCAGCCTCCCCTCTCCCAGACGTGGCCAAAGCCTGGGGGACTGGCTAAGGGGGAAGAGCACCCCAACACCAAGATGAAGAGCAGGGAGGCCCTGGTTCAGACCCTGTACCCCACACCCCCCAGAAAGGAGGCAGCCCAGGGTATCCACCTTAGGTGGCTCTAGCTGACCCCAGAAGGGTGCAAGGAGCTGGGTCTGGGTCAGCAGTCTAGCTCCCACCCCTAGACAGCCTCCCCCCCAGCACCCCGCAGCTCAGAGCTGAGCTGGAGATGGCGGCCTAGAGGGAAGGTCTTGGGTGCCAGGGTGTGGGGGCGGGGCTGGCGGGAGGAGGAAGAGCCCTGCTGGGGAAGTCAGCCGTCGGGTAAGCTGCGACCTCAGGTGGCCACGCCCCTTCCTTTCCCTGGAAACTTGGCCCTGAAGGAAAAGCCCAGCTGTGGGTTGCTTTCTGTCTTCGCTCTGCTTGCTGGGATCCTGCCGACCCCATGGTCTCAGCGGAAGCTGGGCAGGTGAAGGGGCACAGTCCCAGGGAAGCCTGCCCCTTCCCCCAGACTTGGTGCCCGAAGTGAGTTCCTTCTGAGCACCATTCAATAGGGCCCCCCCAAGGCCAGGCCTGAACACAGGGTTCAGAGGACTGCAGCTGGGGGAGGGGCGTTGGGAAGATGGAAATTAAATGATAGAATCGCACACTGAGGGGAGGGTGGGGGAGGCACAGGCGCAGAAGCCCAGGGCCCTCACCTGGGCCAAAGTGGCAGGAGTTGGAGGAGTCATTCGAAACTGCCTCCAGGGTGCTGATTGGCTGGCCTGCCCCATCCTGCAGGGACGCTGGGATTTGTGGCCTGCGGGACTCTTGTGGCACGTGGGGCTCACTCACAGCTCAGAGCACCCCCACCACTGAAGGTACAGCCCAAATGCCTGGAAGGATACAGCCCCCCACCACTCCAGCTGGGGACCAGGCACCCCGCCCGGTGCCGCCCCCACTTCCCTGGCTGGCGGGCCTGCGGTCACTTTCCCAAACCTCTAGAAGAGGTGAGGGCAGGAAGGGAGGGAAACCCTGGGGGCCAGCAGGGGGGTGACACGGGGAGGGGGCAACCGAGGACAGAGAACCGCAGTCCCTGGGAGATGCAAGCCCTTCCTCACCAGCACCCTGGCCCACCTGCCATGCCCTTGGGAAGTCCTACCCTGATCCCACTCACCCCAACACTGCAGCCTGCTAGGCACCCCTGGGGCCCGCAGACAGATATGGACCCTTGGGGGAAGCCACTCTGAAGTCTGGACAGAAGCACCCTGGTACAAGAGTGGTCCCAGATGTCTGCCCCGCCCAGTTCACCAGCCACTAGCCCTGGGCCCTCGGGAGCCAAGAAAGAGGAACCCAGGCTTCCGGCTTCCTGGGGACCAAGTGCACGAGGTGTCCCCAGAATCTCTTGGTGAGCTTGATCTGGGGACGAGAGGCAGAAGCTGCTGCAGCCCCTCCGCACTGACCCTGATCCCTAGTGCAAGCTGGGGGGTGGGGTAGAAGCAGCCCCACCAGGGCTACAAGGAAAAAGGGAGACACCCTCTCAGGACCCCTCCCAAGTGACAGGCAGGGGCTGAGTTCTCAGTCAGAACCCCTCCAGACCCCCAGGCTGAGGGTCCTGGAGCTGGCACCACGGAGCCTGGGCAACCTCCTCCACCCACCCATGCCGGCCCCGCATGAGGCCGAGAAGCAGGTACTTGCCCCACCCACCTCTGCCCCGGGGAGGATGGGAGGGCCGTGGGGGACAGCAGGGTCCTGAACACCCAGGTCAGAGGTTCGTGGCCCTGGTAGGTGGGTGGGAGGGCCATGTGGGGTCTGGTGAGTCCCACCTAGAAGCTGAGGCAGCCCCATCTTCCCCCAGCACACAGGGCCGGAGGAGGCGGACCAGCCCCCCTCAATGTCCAGCCCTGCGTCCCCACCAGCAGCCCCTGGCCGCAGCCCCTGCTGCCTGTGCTGGTGCTGCTGCTGCAGCTGCTCCCGGTACGTGGGCGGGGCTGGGTGGGCCCAGGGCCTGCTCCCAGACCCTCCGATGGCTTGTTTCTGTTTGTTTTTAAGTTTATTTCTTTCGCACTTGAGAGAGAGCCTTACACATTGGCAGGGTTCCCCCATGCCGTGCCCCCCCATCCCAGCCCTCAAGTAGTCAGAGTCCTGGGCACGTGGACCCAGCGTCTTCCAGGACAACCTGCACCACCAGGCAGGGCTTCCCATGGCCTCCGAGGCGTGACCTGTAGGCAGGATTGGCAGCATGCCCTGCCCAGGGACTGCTGGGCCTGAGGATCAATGGTCAGTGCCCAGGCCCCTAGGGGTACTTGAGCATTCCCAAGATAATGGGGCATGCCCCTGGACAGCATGGGGAGGGTGGCCTAGGAGTCTCCGTGTTGGTGTGAGGGCAGGAGAAGGGCTGGCAAGATTTACTAAACTAGGCAAGCTGGTGGCTGTGTTGAGGCCTTGCAAAGGCCCCATTCAGAGTTCAGGCTTCCAGCTATTGAGGGTTCAGCTCTCTGGTGAGCGGCCATGACCCGGATAGATAAGACTTCTCTAGGCCTTCGGGGTGTGTCTAGAAGGCTGCAGGGTGGGGTGGGAGCTGGGTCCTCCTGGACGTCCAGGTTGGACACCCTGTCAGCCACTGAGTAGCCCTGAGTCCCTCGGGGTATCGATGTGGGCCCAGCATGGCCATGCCACGGCAGGAAAGGTTCCCTGCAGAGTGAGGGTCAGGCCTCAGCACCTGACAGCTGTGGACAGGAAGACTAGGGGTCCTACATCGCCTGACAAGACTCAGTGTAACTCATTAGGCCTGCAGGGTGGACCCCTTCCATGGCCCCTCCGAAAGGGCTGAGGTCAGGGGGAGGAGCCTGAAGGCAGCAGGTGACAGGGGCCCCTGGGTCAGACTGCCAAACAGGGAGGCGCAGAGGCCCAGCCTTGGCCTGTGTGAGCAAGCGACAAGTCTGCAGATCCCTCCGTCCTCGAGCTGCTCTGGGCGCTGCCTCTGCCTGCGTGGGTTCACATGTGGTCTCACCTGCGTGGGGGCTTGTGCTGGGGCAGTGCCACCTCCCTCTTTGCCACCAGAAATGAAGAGCGGCGGCGAGCGTGGCAGGTGTCCCGGGAGAGCAAGCTGCAGCCCCTGCCCAGTTGTGAAGTGTGGTGAGTCCAGCTCCCGAGCGTGCTGGGGGGACTGGCCAGAACACACACTGCCTGACGGCCCGGCCTCTGTGCCCACAGCGCCACCCCAAGCCCCGAGGAGGTGCAGAGCTGGGCACAGTCCTTTGACAAGCTGATGCACAGTGCAGCAGGCCGCAGCGTGTTCCGAGCGTTCCTGCGCACCGAGTACAGCGAAGAGAACATGCTCTTCTGGCTGGCCTGCGAGGAGCTGAAGGCTGAGGCCAACCAGCATGTGGTAGACGAGAAGGCTCGTCTCATCTATGAGGACTACGTGTCCATCTTGTCCCCCAAGGAGGTGCGCCAGCCCAGCAGGGCACGGGCTGCGGCGTGGGTGTGGCCGTGGGGAGAGGGGCTCCTCCCCACTCCTGACCCCGGCCCGTCCTGCAGGTGAGCCTGGACTCCCGCGTGCGGGAAGGCATCAACAAGGAGATGCAGGAGCCGTCCGCACACACGTTCGACGACGCACAGCTGCAGATCTACGCGCTCATGCACCGCGACTCCTACCCTCGCTTCCTCAGCTCCCCCACCTACCGTGCTCTGCTGCTGCAGGGACCCGCACCATCCTCCGAGGCTTAGGCCGCCCACTGCAAACAGGCTGGCTGGGGTCTCCACCCTGGAAGCAGCCCCAGCCCCCTTGAGAAGGGCTGTGTCTCCTGGCTGTCCCCTCCCCAGATGTGCAGCAGGCAGGAAGCCTGGCTGACGCAGTGCCTGTGCGTGGTGAGAGGGGGGCCCTCCTGGAGTCTAGAACTGAAGAGCCGTGCTGGGGTCCCCTCCCTGAGCAGCCAGTGGGACCGGGACATGCCTCTGGTGGAGAGGAGACTGTGCCGCCCAGTTCTGTACCGTGAGGAGGACTTCCTACATAAGATGTCTGCACCCCAGAATCGGACCTAAGCCTCCGAACCAGATATGGCGCCCCAGCGTCAAGTTCAAGGTGACAGGACCCAGTTTCTACTTTGTGTTCATGAACTTTAAACTTGGAAACATGTCCTGACTCTGTGTTTTATCAAGAAAAAGAAAAGTTTGCATATTTATCTCCACCCCTCCAAAAAATGTTAGAATGTCTTATTGAGATTATTTTTAAAGCAAAAGTCTTTCTGTTTAAGAACCTTCACATACAGGACAAGATTAGCCAATGAAAAATCATCCCAGACCCAGGGCCAGAGGCTCTGGTGTCCACTGTGAGGAAATCGGGCCTTGTGTCCTCTGCCTTACGACCCCTCACCCTCCTCAGAGCAGTAGCCCATCCTCAGCCCTGCCCAGTGCATGGCTCTGGGCCTGGGCCTGGGCTCAGAATGGCAGGGCAGTCCCTTACAAGGCTTGCAATGCAGGGGTGTTGCTCAGGGCCTGCCGGACACGGACATGACAGCAGCTCTGAGGGCTGTGGGTGAGCACAGTGCCACTGGCGCCATCTTGCAGGCTCCTAAGATAAGACACTCACACTGGGACCTGATGCAATGTGAAGCTGGAACCCTCCTGAAGAGGAGCTGCCTGTGCTGGGGCAGCAGGGAGGGTGCTGAGCTAGGCAGTGGGCCGAGACCCAGCAAGACTCCAAGGAGTCTGCACAAGGACACTTCCCACCTTGTCCACACAGCAGCTCAGCAGGGTGGGTGCACACACAGGGCAGCTCGGCAAGGTGGGCGCACACACATGGGCAGCCGGGTCAGATGTGCATGCACATGCAGAGACAGCCAGGTCAGATGTGTGCACAGACAGACAGCTGGGTCAGATGTGTGCACACACACAGACAACTGGGACAGATGTGCACACACAGGCGGCTGGGTCATATGTGTGCACACACATGGGCAGCTGAGTCGGACATGTGCACACATACGTAGGCTACTTGGATGTGTACACACATACGTGGGCAGCTTGGTTTTGATGTGTGTACATGTATGAGTATCTTGGTCAGACATGTGCACACAAGCATGGGCTACTCAGACATGTGCGCACACATGCATAGGCAGCTCAGTCCAAAGTGTGTGCATACGCATGGGCAGCTCAGTTTTGATGTGTGCACACACAAGCAGAGCCACCTTAACATCCTCAAATCCCACCAGCACAGCTGGCCTCTCTGAGGGTCCAGCTGCCCACTGCTCCCCACCAGGGCCAAGCCCAACCCCAGGGCAAAGACATCAGCCTGCACGCCAGCTCAAGTGGCCCGTCTGAGCAGGGCCCAAGGCAGCAAGAAGGCAAATGAGCCATTTAATTAGTGATGGTGGGGAAAGGCCAGGAGGGTACAGTCTGGGCAGGCAGGTCAGGGCGCTGCCTGCTGGGGTCTCCGGAGAAACTTGATGCAGGACACAGGGATAGCTCATGCTGACCGTGGCCCATGGGTGCAGCACAACCGCAAGGGGCTCCTCAGACCTGCACGAAGGGTGAGTGTGTCAGCCTTGTGGCCTGTGTCCCCAGGGTCCTAGGAGTCTGGCTGGACAATTCACCCCACACCCCAAATACCTCCAGGAAGGGGCTGGGATGCCGGGCCCACCCCCTCACCTTCCAGCACCTCCCACCCTCACTGCAGTATGCACAGATGGTCACAGGCTCGTCAGAGCTGCCTGTCTGCACCCGTAGGCATGGGAGCCCAGTGCCTGGCAGGCTCTGCTGCAGGGACATCCCCAGACTTGGGCCCTGCTGGCCCAGCTGGAACCCATCAGCGACCTAATCTGAGGCTGCCCAGTGACCTTCCAGGGCTGGGCCTCTCGAGGGGAGGAAGGGAAGAGGTGTTCTACCATGCCAGAGGCCTTGGCCCCACTGGTCTCGGACTCTAAACTGAGGGCAAGAGGGTCCCCGTCAGGAAGGGCCCGTGGTGGGGGTGGAAGAGACTCTGCCCCCTGGGCTCTAGGTAGCCACAGGAGGAGACAGTCTCATGGCCTCTCCCAGGTGCAGAGGCTGCCTCAGCTCTTACCAGAGCCCGCACCCCCACAGAGGGTCTAAGTGTGGTCCTGCACCTACCATGGGCAGTGGACCAACCTCCCCCCAGACTCAGCAACCCAGAACCCATCACCCAAGGTGCTGCCTGCCAGGGGGCCATCAGTGCTTGGTGACAGGAGTGGTCCCTGAAAGTGATGGTCACTCCCTAGCCCAGTCATGGTTGAAAGACCCAAGAGAACCCCAGGCTCGGACCCCGGCCCTAGCACCTGTCCCTCAGCCCAGCGGAGCTGAGCCCCAGTACCGTGATGTGGGCCGATGGTGTTCCTCTTGCTCCTGCTTCAGGTGAGCAGGTTCGTCTGAGTGCCACCCATGCAGGCCCTGTGTTCACAAGTGGCCCCCTTGTTGTGGCCTTGTGGATCTCCCTGAGCTCGTCACTGGCCATCTCCTGGGCAGGGGCCAGTGCTGAGCCCCAGGTCCACTGGGGCTCCTGAGCCCCACAAAGCTCACCTCTGAGGCCATTATGGTGACCCTCTGGGGCACGATGGCTCCACACAGCACATCCCAGTGCAGGGCAGGGTTCTTGGAGTCCTTGAGATTGGAGATGCAACTCCACACCTGCCTCTTCATTTGGTGTCTGTGCTCCCAATGTCCCAGAAGGTGTGCAGGTAGTAAGGACCCATCCCAGGCCAAGGCCACCCTGTGAGGGACTGTCTCCAGGGCTGCCCAGCCACATGGGTCAGTCCATCCACCCAAGCCTGGGGGTGGGCTGAGGAGCTTCAGGGCTGGGCCTTCACGAGACCCATTCCTGGCCAAGACCCCACTGCGGCTTTGAGAGCCCAGAGATGAAGACCCCACCTGCAGGCAGGATCAGCCCACAGATAGTCCAGGGAGGGCAAGGCCATCTGATTGCCCAGGAACAGGGCACCAGCAGCCACCAGGGGGCGTCGGGCCTGGGGGCCTCAACCCCAAGAAACCCTCAGCCCTGTATTCTGCTGCAGAAGGGACATATTCCTCAACCTGGGCTGACAGGTGCTCACAGTCCACACTCACAGCCACGTGGTCGTCTGCAAGAGGGAGCCCTGGCCAGCTGCCTTCACTGCATCTCTACCCGCACAGCACCGTGGCACAGCTGCCTTCACTGCATCTCTACCTGCACAGCACCGTGGCAGCCAGAGGGGCATTATGCAGGATCTCAGTGCTCTGGGGTCCCCAAAGACCCCCTGCCGACACCCAGATTTGCGGCAATGGACTGGGGGAATAGGGTAGTCCCTCTGCAGTCAGTCAGGGCTGGGGCCACTCTGCACACCTAGGGTGTGTGTCGGGGCTGGGGCCTGCCAGGCACTCGTGATCTGTCTGCAGGACAGTGGTCAGTATCGCAGGCGACGGGCACTGGGGGAAATGAGGTGATCGTTGGGGTGGGTGGTTCCCTGGTCAGCTCTGGCCTCTTGCAGCTGGAGTGAAACAAGGCCTGTGGACTCAGACTGTGGGATTTGTGCACCTGTGAGATGCTGGCCCCCAGAAATGCTATTCACAACACAACCCAGCTCCACCCCGCAAGTCCTGACAACAGCCCACGGCCCCGCCTATCTTCAGCCCACCCCAGCATGCCATGGGGCCTGTCAAGTGGGCTGTGTAGTCCCTGGTGGGTGAGAGCGCACCCAGGAATGGGAGCTGGCAGCCAGTGTCCAGGCAGCATCGCCAGCTAGTCAGAAGTGACTGAGTCATTCCTGCCACCTCGATAGCCAAGACCACTGCTAGCCAGGGACAGGCAGACTGACGGCAGCCTCAGGAGACACCAAGTGGGGCTGCCCAAGGCCAGGGTCTGCTGTGGCAGGGGACACTGGGTACACATGAAACGGGGCAGCCCACTCCCATGCCCTCAGGGCTGGGGCCCAACATGGAGCTGCCTGAAGACCAGGCTGAACCCCCGAACCCTTCCCTTGTGGCCCCTGTGGAAACGCAGGACTCCACGACTCCCTGGAGGGGAGTGAGTCAAGGGGCAGGGGGTGCAGGTGGGCTCTGGCCACACGACCAGCTGAAGTCCAGGTCCAGCCTCCCACTGAGGCTAGCCGAGGACACACAGCCTCTCAGTCCTAACTGCCCCCTCTCTGCACTCAGCAATGACATCCCCATGCGCCGTGAGGTCCGGGGAGCTGGACACCTCACCTCCATCTGGACAGGTGTGGAGGAGGGTCTAGCACACAGTGGTGCCCGGTGGGGGCAGCCAGAGCCAGCCAGACCAGGAGAGAGCAAAGCCCAGGGAAAGGGCCCAGTGGCTCAGAGAAGTCTGGCATGCAGCCACACAGCCAGTGGTTGGGGCCAGCAGGGCTTCCACCCTGTGTGTGACCCCGGCCCCCAAGGGCAGTGCCCAGACACACAGACATTAGCACGCTTTTCCTGCTAAGGAAGCAGAAGCAGGAGGCAGGAGAGGATGCACCCGCCTTCCAGACGGGCCACCTGGGACCCGTGGCTGTGGAGGTGTCCTTCGCAGGTGAAGGGAGAGGCAGGCCCTTCCCCTGACCCTTGCTTTTTGCCAGCTGAAGCACCTGCAGTTGTGGAAAGAGGAAGATGGACCCGTGAGCGGAGGCTGGGAGACAGGGCTGACCACTAGGGGGCGCAGCCTCAGCCAGGCCACCAGCCAGACATCCACCCTGGCCCAGCCAGCCAAACGGGTGCTCGCAGGCCACCTCACTCCCACTCAGACCAGTGCGTGGGACTTCTCTGGGGTCCACCTTACTGCCCATCCTGGCTGGAAAGATCAAGCATGTCCCAAGTTCCTCCCTGGGCAGAGCTGGGCCTTGGGCCTGTGCTGGAGGCCAGCCTCTCATGTCCTAATGCCCACACAGGACTGGGGAGAGGCCTTGGGTCACACAGGTATGGACAGGAACACGGGACTGGAGAGAGGCCTTGGGTCACACAGGTATGGACAGGGCCGGGGAGGGTCTGGGAAGAACCTTCGCCCAGGGTTTGGGCGAGGCCACCTCCCTGTACCAGCAGGGACATCTCTGCAACTGCCCACTGGCCCCCAAAGGCAGTCTTCACTCAGCCCAGCCCCTCCCAGGTGTCCTCCCTGGAGCCTCCTGGCCCTACTCTTCCCTGTGTGACCTCCCACCTCAGCACTCAACTCTCTTCTCTTCTTGGTCTCTGGGAACCCCTTCCTCAGCACACACCCTGGCCCTGCAGCCACAACTCTCAGACTACCCTCCACCTG